TACTTTATATCAAACTCGGTTAAAGCTTATCTAAACTGCAGCAGTTGCATCAGTGTGTAAAACTTTTTTCTTCTGAGTCTCACAAGCCTGTCGGTACGGAACCCCAGCTCCAGAACCGGTCACACTGACCACAAACGTACTGTCTGTTTTTACCCTGATAAGATTGCAAATGAGGTTAACACATGTTGTGTCAAAGCAAGTTCTGTTATGTGTGAAGGTGTATAAATGAAGCCGTACTGTTCATGTTTTTTTAGAACACACAGAACTCACTGAGCTGCGTTTTGTTCATGTGTTCTCCTTCTGCAGAAGAGAAATAAACTTTGCTACGTGTTTTTAAACAAAGTTCTCAGTCTTCTAAATTTTATTGAACAACAAGTTTGATAAAACTCCACACGTGCAAAACGCTGTGTTCCGTCGAAAGTTAAAGTAAGCGTTGGTCAGCTTTAGAGATTGAATTTGTGCTAAAAAAAAAAATAATAGGGTTAAACCTGCTCTCTGATCTGTGAAAAGAACTTGTATGATTTTGCAGAGAGACCCTGTCTGGTCAAAGCAACAGAGGAAACTGGTCGCCATTTTAAAAAAAGTTAAATCTGGTCCTCTGGACATTCAAAAAAAACAAAGCAAAACAACAAAAAAATGTAGAAACGTTTCGTCTCTCATCCGAGAGACTTCATCAGTCTGAGGTGCTGTATTCAGCTCAGTCTCTTAAATAGCACCTTCTCAGAGTGAATCAACCAGTTTTGCTGCTGGCAACCAGAACCAGCTGATCACATGCTCAAGAAGGACCATCAGCCTAACAATGGATCATTAGCACACTAGCTGATAGAAACTTTCCACCGATTCAGTCTTCATTTCATGTGGTAAAAGACAATCTTACATACTTGGGTATTAAAATCACCCCAAAAATAGATGAGCTAGCACAGGCAAACTATGATCCCTTGACTAATTCAGTAGTGGAATCTATTAACAGATGGTCCATGCTGCCTATTTCTATGATTAGCTGTATAAATGTACTTAAACTGAACGTGCTCCCAAAATTCCTATACATTTTCCAAGCTATTCTTCTTAACCCTCCAGTTAATTTTGTTTTTACTAAGATTCAAACAATCTTCAATAAATTTATTTGAAATAACAGACGGATATAGGGGCTCCACTCTCCTTAGCCTCCCTGGTAAGGTCTATTCAGGAGTACTGGAGAAGCGAGTCCGATTGTTGGTCAAACCTCAGATCCAGGAGGAACAATGCGGAGTCCGTCCTGGCCTTATATCACTGGATCAGCTCTTTACCCTCACTAGGGTCCTTGAGGGCTCATGGGAGTTTGCCCATCCAGGCTACATGTGTTTTGTGGACTTGGAGAAGGCATTCGACCGTGTTCCTCGGGATACACTGTGGGGGGTTCTCTGTGTATGGGATTTGGAGGCCCTTTGTTACGGGCTGTTCAGTCCCTATACAAGCATTGCAAGAGTTTGGTTCGCATTGCCGGTAGTAAGTTGGACCCCTTCAGGGTGGGAGTTGGACTCCGTCAGGGCTGCCTGTTGTCACAGATTCTGTTCATAATTTTATGGACAAAATTTTTCAGTGCAGCCAGCTGGCAAGAGGGTTTCCGGTTCGGTGGCCTCAGAATTCTATCTCTGCTCTTTGCAGATGATGTGGTCCTGTTGGCGTCATCGTGCCATGATCTTCAGATGGAGACATGTCCTGAGCTGCGCAGCACACTGTTTATATCGACAGTTTTTTTTTGGGGGGGGGGGGGCTGAGACAGAGACACAGCCACACGCTGTTTACACCAGCAGTTTTACAGCTTTAGAGCAGGGGTGGGGGGGAGAGGAGAGACACACATCTGAACTGTGCACTGTTCTGACATCTTTCGGGGGGGGGTTCAGCGTAAGAGTTCAGCATGAGGGAAGAGGCTACCTTTAACTTTTTATCTAACGCGCCTGCATGGCGAGCCGCTAGTTAAGCGTTACGCCAGTGCCGACATGGTGGGGTTCGATAGACGGGGCGCTCGGTTCTGTTGACGGGGCGGGGTGCCCCGCTTGTAGAATGGACCTGCAGTGCCAGCACAACTTTATGATGTCACGTGCACCATTGAGTTTAGATTTGTGACAATTTACAAACTTGCACTGTTGGAGTGTTGTCATTGTGTTAGAGAGAGTGAACATCATGAATAAATGTGACATGAAACATAATCCAAGTTGAAGTGTTGCATCATTTTCAGCCCCCTTTTTGTAAAACTGCATTTGGTAGCAGGCCAAATTGACAAAGACCATGCAGAGTAATGCATTTTAATACCACAGCAGAGAAAGCTATGTAGTCTCTGGTCTAGGGAATACATATCGGTATTTGTGTCGGTTATCGGTCAAATAAGTTTTAACATATCAGATATCGGCCAAAAATCCAATATCGTGCATCCCTAGTTGGATGTAGTTGGATGTCTGTTTGATGTAGTCAGATGTTGTTAATCGGGAGTTGATTATGTGTTTGTAGATGGATCGAAGGTGTTCTGATGGACGTTGGACAGGTTTGATGAAGACAGGCTGCTGCTATCTTTGATTTCTGGCTCTTATCCGATGACTGCTGGAGGCATCCCTCTAGGAAAAACCACCTGGTCCTGGTCCTTAGAAGATCCTAGGGTTGATCTGATCCTTTTTTTGTTCCCTCCCTGGCTCTGATCGAGGTGGCTGCTTCTGTCTTTCCTCCCCCATTTTTCCTTCCTCCTGCTCTGTTCTCTGTGTGTCTGAAGTGCCTGGTTCACATCTCCCGAACGTAAATTAAGAATATTATGGATTTGGTATCGTGGGCGTTCAACTCTATTCGTAAGATTTTTTTTCATCAAAGCAACAAGGTCCTGGAGAACCGGCGTGTCCAGCTGAGACTCACGCTGTGGGGTACGTCGATCTATGGGGAGTGTGGCAGCTGATGTGCCTCTCAGTTCTGTCTCAGGAGGATGTTGAAGACGTTTACATATTTGGAGTTATGATAGCAGGGACTCTGCTTTTGGCATCGGCGGGGCTCTGTTTTATTGACTTTTGAAGAAGACATCAGCAGCAGTTTCGGCCATGGCAAAGCTTCCAAGTCAGTGTGAAGGCTTGGTCCGTGCTGTAGAAACTCTGAATCAGCTGGTTTACGAGCTAAACCATAAGGTGGAGGCGATTTATGAGAATCGCAGGCCACCCGCGGCTTCTGGGACTCGTCAGCGTGGTGGGTTCGACCTTGAGGGAGACTCGTAGCATGGGTCAGTGGAATGGAATCCCACAATTGGGCTATTTTGGAACCAGAACGTCCAGATGGACTCCAGGCTGAAGGAGAAAGAAATCTGTCTGCCTGAAGAAAAACAAAAATCAAGCTTATCTAAATCTGACTCCCGACGGCCTCGGAGACGGGCCGACTATCAAATTTCTCCTGGGTCATGGGTAACCAAGGACAAAAAGCTTCATCTATCGCACACATACACACGGACGGACGGACGGAGAACTTTCTGTGCAAGCTTATCAGGACTGCTGGCTGACAGCATCTTCAAAAACTGTGGCTGATCTGAAAAGCGCTCATAGACAAATCTCAACACCTCGACGTCAAATGCAAATTAACCATTTTTTAATTGTGCTTGCTGGTAGGAATGCACGATATAAATGGTATGCGGCAGAAACAATAGAAATTTAGCCTACGATAGAGCTCTGACTTCTACCGGCTAACCGCAGTAATGCTGTGTCTGATGTAAAATCAGAGTTGTCTGTTTAATCTTTACTTTTTTTTGTTGAAAACTGTGCGCAAGTGGCGTTAAAGTCTTTTCTTCGAGGGCTAAGTAGCGAAGCTACAAGCTAACTATGCCCGGCTTGCCGTAGTGTTGCCGTATTTGGACGCATGCACAAAACGCTGTGTTGAAAGTTTTTTGTTTTTGTTCCATCGAAATTTAAAGTAAGCGTTGGTCATCTTTAGAGAAACCTGCTCTCTGATCTGTAAAAGAACGCTGTGTTGTGTGATTTTACTGAGAGACCCTCTGGTCACAGACTCATTTTGTGTCAGCTCTCCATTAAAGCAGAAGGAGTCGCCAACAAGAGGGTTGGAGGGTGAAGTGTTTCAGAGTAAAATGCTGCTCTGTTGCTGTTCATTTCTTAAGTGAGAATACTGGAAACTGTTAACAACATTCTTTTGTTTAAAACATATGGCTAAAACTACATTTTATATATTTTGCACTGTTTTGCACTACAAGAAAGAAGCCTAATACTTGATTTGTTATTTAAAAACTCTCTGGACCTAGTAGTGGATTTTTTTTTTTATTCTAAATATATGATAGCAAAAGGACACCCTATACTTTTTAAAAATTCCTATTAATTTTTATATCCAAAACATATCGCGATATATATCGTTATCGCCACCCTTCACAATACATACCGTGATATGAATTTTATGCCATATCGCACATTCCTACTTGCTGGTCGAGGTTTTTTTTGAAGTCTCAAATCGTGTCCTGATAAAGAAGATGTGAAAGATCTTTTTTTTGTAATACCACTATCTACCCTCATGTTTTTCCCCCTTTTCCTATCTATGATTATTTTTCTGATAAGGATAAGAGAGGCCGCGCTTAGTTTTAGTAGCAGCTTCATGCACTCCGTCCATCTTCCGGACGACTGCATGTACATGTTCTTGTATCTCGGTGCAATGATAATAGTTTATTCTGATTCTGAACTTTGACCAGAGTCCATCTGATTCAGGAAATGTTTGGATTTATTGTCTAAAATCTGATGATTACTGAAAACACCCTGTACCAGGATAAAACCCTGACTCTGCAGACAGTCCAACATCAGACACAGTAGGGTCCAGAATCCTTAGTGGGACTAAGCTGATCCAGGAGAGTGAACTGGATTTGCTTTTCCAAATTTATATTGAAATTTTAGCAACAGTAGAACAAAAATTGTTTACCTGAAGTCAGAAACTTTCGAGTCTTGATATTTATCTGAAAGGGTTCTGAGCCTTCTGACGGTCCTGTTTCTCTCTTCCAGTGCCTTCTGCATGTTTCCCACTGAGCCATCCATGCCCATCAACATGACCATCCCCCTCTACCTGTCCAAGGAGGACTTTGTCTTCACCTCCAAAGTCCAGACGTCAGCCCAGAGCTCCTGCCTCAGGTTTCAAGCCTCAGACCATGTGGACCAGACCAAGCCCCAGGATGGAGCCATCCCCAAAAAAGAAATGCAGAAAAGTAAGAAGCGTGTGACATTTGCAGACCACAAAGGTCTGAGTCTGACCAAGGTCAAGGTCTTCTCGAAGTTCACAGACCCCATCCAAATCCCTGTGAACATCCAGGAGATGCTGAACTCCAAACTCACGCTACCGTTGGCCGAAGAGGACAGACTGGTATTGGACTTCCCTCAGCCCTCCTCAGACTACCTTCAGTTCCGCCAGAACCTGGAGAAGAACCTGGTGAGCCTGGAGCACTGTGTTCTCAAGGAGAAGGCCTTTGCAGGAACTGTCAAAGTCAAAAACGTCTCGTTTGAGAAATCCGTGACCCTGAGGGTGACCTTCGACTCATGGAAGAGCCACTTAGACGTTGGCTGCGAGTACGTGAAGGACACGTACCCAAGTTCCTACAGTGACACTTTCTCCTTCGAGGTCCCCCTGCCCACCGAGCTGCGGCCCAACGAGCATGTCGAGTTTGCCATCTGTTACCAGGTGGACGGGAAGGAGTACTGGGACAGCAACCAGGGCAAGAACTATCACATCATCTGGTCATACATGAAGCGGGGCTGCCACGCGGACTCCTCGCACTTTGGGATCCACTTCGACCGTTACGGTAGCCCCACCTGTTCGCACGGCCTCCTCCCTGATTGGCCAAGTTATGCTGGCTACGAGAACATCGGCCCGTACTACTGACCTCTGACATCACAACTTTTTAACCTCATTGTTTTTAACAAGATGTTTACGTCAGGTGGGGGCACACGTGGTGATGGACCGGACCAGAACCCCACCCTGACATGGGGTTCAATGCCACTTCATCATTCCAGAACCGGTTTTAAACTTCAGGACAGGAGCCAAACAAACCTCTGCAGATCCGCTCCAAGACTGTTGGGTTTTTACTTTCAGTGACGATATGAACAAACAATTAGCATGTGCTGCTAACAGGAAGCATCTGCTTACAGTAATGCTGCTGCTAGCAAGAAGCAGCTGCTAACAGGAAGCAGCTGCTAACAGGAAGTTATTTATTTGCACCAGTTTGACTAAATGATTGAGCACCAGGGTGTCCAGCAGCTGTCTCCTACAAGTCCAGGTTTTAGTCTGAAGACGTGTTCCTTCTCAGTCGGATCATATTTCACTTCAGGAAGAACTTACTTTAATTAGACCACAATGACTTCTGAGCCAGGAGCAGTGAGGAGCTGAGTCCTCAACAGACTGCAGGAAGTCCACTACAAGGTCCAAATGATGCAGGTTTCCCTGTCTTGGTCTGCAGGGTGGACTCTTCAGGGACCAGAAGTGATCTATTGGGCAGGAAGCCAGGTAATTCGACCTATACGATAACTTCCTGTCTGTAGGGGACAGAGCTGCTGTCGGTCATAAAGTTTGATCATGTGATTATGTAATGTGATGTTTTAACACTCAGGTCATGTCAGTCTCACTGCAGCCAGGTTCTGTTAGCAGCCTGAGCCCACAGGTTTTAGTTTCTCAGAGTCGGGTAAACAGTGGAAACAGGAAGTGGTTCCGTTGGACCCGAAGCTATAATTTAAACGCGTGAAAAACAATCAGGAATCAGAACTTTGTGCTGGAAGTTGAAGTTCGAGGTCCGTCTCATTGTTTTACAGGATTTCTTCACAGAACAAAGCTGCATGCACATCAGACAGAGGAAACAGTTTTATTTTGAAAGGTGAACAGAGGAAGTTGCTCTTGAACAAACTTTCAGTCTGTCTGTGCACAAAATCCATGAAAGATAAGCTACATTTAGTTTTTCACTGAGCCGCTTGGATGTTGGCACTGAGGCCATTTTAGTGTGTGTGTGTGTGTGTGTGTGTGTTTTGAATGATTTTAAAGTCAATAAAGCTCTGTGTTTTTACTCAAACTGAAGCAATAATCTACTGTCAAAATGATCTGAACAATAAAAAGTTTATTTTAACCTGAAGCTGCTGCTTGTTGTTATTTAGTCACTGATGTTTATTGTAGTCAACTGTAAACTTTCAGCTGATGTTAAATTTGTCAAACCTGAGGGTGTAGCCTATAGCAGCCTTGTGGATGGAGCCTACAGGAACCTTGAGGATGGAGACTTCTGCAGGTGTGTGGGTGGGGCCGCAGCTGCCATGAGGGTGGAGCCTACAGAGCCACCTGCTGACCACATCAGCAGGTGGCTCTGTAGGTGTAGAAATGACAGCCGGTGGACCAGACTAAAGATATGTTCTCTGTGAGACTTTCAGTCGGGGGACGTATTGTGTTCTGCTCCAGACACAGTCTGTTCAGTTTTCAATTGGAGTAATGAAACTGAGGAGTGGACGATCAACAAGAGTACAGACTTCAGGAGCGGACTTGTGTAGTACAGGTGTTGGTCATTAAATTAGAATATCATGAAGAATTTGTTTTATTTCAGTAATTCCATTCAAAAAGTGAAACTTGTATATTCATTCATTACACACCAACCAATCCATTTCAAATGTTTGTTTCTTTAAATGTTGATTATTATAACTGACACCGGTAATGAAAACCCCAAATTCAGTATCAGAAAATTAGAATATTGTGAAAAGGTTCAATATTGACACAAAAACTTGCAAAGGCCTTTAAATGGTCTGTCTAGTTATGTCGGCCACACAATCATGGGGAAAGACTGCTGACTTGACAGTTGTCCAAAAGATGACCATTGACACCTTGCACAAGGAGGGCAAGACGAAAGTTCATTGCTAAAGAGTGGCTGTTCACAGAGCTCTGTTCAAGCACATTGATAGAAAATGGAAGGGAAGTAAAAAATGTGGTAGAAAAAAGTGTACAAGCAATAGGGATAACCACACCCTGGACATGATTGTGAATCAAAACCCATTCCAAAATGTGGGGGAGTTTCACTAAGAGTGGACTGCAGCTGAAGTCAATGCTTCAAGAACCACCATGCACAGACATATGCAAGTCAGGGGTTTCAGCTGTCGCATTCCTTGTGTCAAGCCATTCTTGAACAAGAGACAACATCAGAAGCATCTCGCCTGGGCTAAAGACAAAAAGGAGTGGACTGCTGCTGAGTGGTCCAGAGTTATGTTCTCTGATGAAAGTAAATGTTGCATTTCCTTTGGAAATCAAGATCCCAGAGTCTGGAGGAAGAGAGGAGAGGCATCGAATACACGTTGTTTGAGGTCCAGTGACAAGTTTCCACAGTCAGTGATGGTTTGGGGCCATGTCATCTGCTGGTGTTGGTCCACTGTGTTTTCTGAGGTCCAAGGTCAACGCAGCCGTCTGCCAGGAAGTTTTAAGAGGCTTCCTGCTGCTGAACAACTTTATGGAGATGCAGATTTCATTTTCCAACAGGACTTGGTACCTGCACACAGTGCCAAAGTTACTAGTACCTGGTTTCAATTCAATTCAAAAATACTTTATTAATCCCAGAGGGAAATTAAATGTTGTTGTAGCTCATTTTCCTTTTAAGGACCATGGTATCCCTGTTCCTAATTGGCCAGCAAACTCGCCTGACTTTAACCCATAGAAAATCTATGGGGTATTGTGAAGAGGAAGATGCGATACGCCAGACCCAACAATTCAGAAGAACAGAAGGCCACTATCAAAGCAACCCAGGCTCTCGTAACACCTGAGCAGTGCCACAGACTGATCAACTCCATGCCACACCCCATTGCTGCAGTAATCCAAGCAAAAGCATCCCCAAATAAGTATAGAGTGATGTATAGGAATGTGCGATATATGCGGTACACTAGAAACAATGCCTATGATAGAGATCTGTCTTCTACCGGCTAACTGCAGTAATGCTGTCTGATGTAAAATCAGAGTTGTCGGATTTAACCGTTACATTATTTTAGTTTAAAACTGCGTAAATGGTGTTAAAGTCTGTTTTCTTTGAGAGCTAAGTAGCGAAGCTACAAGCTAACTACGGCCGGCTTGCTGTATTGTTGTCGTATTTGGATGCATGTGTGGAAATGAAAACATTGATACCAATTTATTTTGTTCATCAATTTTATTATCATCACTTTTATTATTCATTTACTTTATATCACGTTCTGTTAAAGCTTATCTAAACTGCAGCAGTTGCATCAGTGTGTGAAACTTTTTTCTTCTGAGTCTCACAAGCCTGTTGGTACGGAACCCCAGCTCCAGAACCGGTCACACGGACCACAAACGTACTGTCTGTTTTTACCCTGATAAGATTGCAAATGAGGTTAACGCCTGTTGTGTCAAAGCAAGTTCTGTTACGTGTGAAGGTGTATAAATGAAGCCGTACTGCTCATGTTTTTTAGAACACACAGAACTCACTGAGTTGCGTTTTCGTTCATGTGTTCTTCTGCAGAAGAGAAATAAACTTTGCTACGTGTTTTTAAACAAAGTTCTAAGTCTTTTATTGAACAACAAGTTTGACTTATGTGCTCGTCATGGATTGTCAATAACGAACACCTTGTTCAAGCATAAGGGTGTCCATATGTGCTCTTGGCACCAGGACACCCTAGGCCGCAGTTCGATGATCGAATTTGTCATTGTCTCATCTGATCTGTGGCCTCATGTCTTAGACACTCAGATGAAGAGAGGTGCGGAGCTATCCACTGATCCCTACCTGGTGGTGAGTTGGCGCCGATGGTGGGGGAGGATGCCGGTCAGACCTGGCAGACCCAAATGTATTGTGAGGGTTTGCTGGGAACGTCTGGCAGTCTCCTGTGAGACGGAGTTTTAACTCCCACCTCCGGGAGAATTTCGAACATGTTCCGAAGGAGATGGGGGACATTGAGTCTGAGTGGACCATGTTTCGTGCCTCTATTGTCAAGGTGGCTTACCAGAGCTGCGGCCGCAAGGTTGTCAGTGCCTGTCACGGCGGCGAGATGGTGGACACTGTCGGTGAGGTATGCTGTCAGGCTGAAGAAGGAGTCCTATCGGGCCTTTTTGGCCTGTGGGACCCCGGAAGTATCTGATGGGTACCGGCAGTCCAAGCGACATGCGGCTCGGATGGTCGCTGAGGCAAAAACTCAGGCATGGGAGGAGTTCAGAGAGGCCATGGAGAATGACTTCCGCATGGCTTCGAGGCGATTCTGGTCCACCATCCGGCGTCTCGGGGGGGAAAGCGGTACACCACCAACACTGTTTATAGTGGGAGTGGTGTGCTACTGACCTCAACTCGGGATGTTGTGGGTCGGTGGGCGGAATACTTTGAAGACCTCCTCAATCTCACCGGCACGTCTTCCACTGAGGAAGAGGAGCCTGGGGACTCTGGGTCGGGCCCTCCAATCTCTGGTGCTGAGGTCACTGAGGTGGTTAAAAAGCTCCTCGGTGGCAGGGCCCCAGGGTTGGATGAGAATCGCCTGGAGTTCCTTAAGGCTCTGGATGTTGTAGGGTTGTGTTGGCTTACGCGACTCTGCAATATTGCGTGGATATCGGGGTAAGTTCCCCTGGATTGGCAGACCGGGGTGGTGGTCCCCCTATTCAAAAAGGGAGACCGTAGAGTGTGTTCCAACTACAGGGGAATCACGCTCTTAAGCCTCCCTGGTAAGGTCTATTCGGGGGTTCTGGAGAGGAGGGTCCATCGGATAGTCGAACCTCGGATTCAGGAGGAACAGTGCTGTTTTTGTCCTGGCCGTGGAACACTGGACCAGCTCTACACTCTCAGCAGGGTCCTGGAGGGTGCGTGGGAGTTTGCCCAACCGGTCTACATGTGCTTTGTGGACTTGGAGAAGGCGTTCGACCGCGTCCCTCGGGGAACCCTGTGGGGGATACTCTGGGAGTATGGGGTACCGGGCCCTTTGATACAGGCTGTTAGGTCCCTGTATGACCAGTGTCAGAGCCTGGTCCGCATCGCCGGCAGCAAGTCGGGCTTGTTCCCCGTGAGAGTTGGACTCCGCCATGGTTGCCCTTTGTCACCGATTCTGTTCATAACTTTTATGGACAGAATTTCTTGGCGCAGCCAAGGTGTTGAGGGGATCCGTTTTGGTGGCCTTAGAATTGCGTCTCTGCTTTTTGCAGATGATGTGGTCTTATTGGCTTCATTCGATCGTGATCTACAGCTTTCGCTGGAGCGGTTCGCAGCCGAATGCGACGCGGCCGGGATGAAGATCAGTTCCTCCAAATCAGAGGCCATGGTCTTGAGCCGGAAAAGGGTAGAGTGCCCTCTCCGGGTCAGGGAGGAGGTCCTTCCCCAAGTGGAGGAGTTCAAGTATCTTGGGGTCTTGTTCACGAATGAGGGAAAAATGGAGCGTGAGATCGATAGGCGGATAGGTGCAGCGTCTGCAGTGAAGCAGGCGCTGTACAGGTCTGTCGTGGTGAAGAGAGAGCTGAGTCAAAAGGCGAAGCTTTCAATTTACCGATCGATCTACGTTCCTACCCTCATCTATGGTCATGAGCTTTGGGTTGTGACCGAAAGAATGAGATCTCGGATACAAGCGGCCGAAATTAGTTTTCTCCGCAGGGTGTCTGGGCTCTCCCTTAGAGATAGGGTGAGAAGCTCGGTCATCCGGGAGGGACTCAGAGTAGAGCCGCTGCTTCTCCATGTCGAGAGGAGCCAGTTGAGGTGGCTTGGGCATCTGTTTAGGATGCCTCCTGGACGCCTCCCTGGTGAGGTGTTCCGTACATGTCCCACCAGGGGGAGACCCAGAGGAAGACCCAGGACACGCTGGAGGGACTATGTTTCTCGGCTGGCCTGGGAACGCCTCGGGATTCCCCCGGAAGAGCTGGCCCAAGTGGCTGGGGAGAGGGAAGTCTGGGCCTCCCTACTTAGGCTGCTACCCCCGTGACCCGACCCCGGATAAGCGGAAGAAAATGGATGGATGGATGGAAGTTTGATAAAACTCCACA